GCACAACTCCTTTACTCCACCGTTTCTTTTGAAATGGGAAAGGGCCATAGGGTTCTCGCTTACGACGGAGCAACGAGATATCATCTTGTAATTCTCTCATCGTGCCTCTATTGCGAGTGGGATTCAAGGAAACAACTATAAATTGTTGACCAGCTGGTACCGGGTCCCTTCGGTTCTGCTCAAACCTCTACCCTCTGGTCTCCCCCTTTGTTGGCAGTGGCTGAAGCCACATTTCTCCACATCTTCTGGTCATGCCCTTCTCTGCAATCTTTCTGGCAGGCAATGCAAGAGTTGATACCAGCAGCTCACTGGTGTTGAACTGGGAACGGACCTCTTGGCCTACCTCCTACACTTAACCCTTCCTTCTTTTGAAAAAGTGCTACAGAAAATCACTCGAAGCAAATTATATATACCTGCCTTATGGAAACACAACTGGCCACCCCCAATATCGATGAGGTATTCTAAAATTTATGAAATCGAACGCATGGAATCCCTCACAACTTCCTTGTACCATACCACAGAAAGTCAATCGCACATGGTTTTACTGGCAAGACTACAAAGCCTCTGGAGAGTATTGCCAAGTAATGGTGCCTTCCGAATATTAATCTTGGAGCACTTTTTCTCCCCTCAGGTCCTGGTTACCTTCCTCCCCAGTGCACATATTAGCTGTTAATGACCTTTCTCCTGCACACCTGTCCCTTCCGTCGTCCTTTTTTATTTTTTCCTCTTTACCTCTCATTTGCTGCTTTTTTCACTTTCTCCATTTGTAGGTACTCTCTCTCTTCTCTTAGGTTTAATCCTTCTTTTCTCCAATGTTTATCTTAAAAGTCTGCTGATGGGGGTATTCATGGGTGTGAGACCAATAATTCTAGGGCCATTATACATGGTTTGACTATAAATGTATGACCTTTAACCCTTTCGTTGCCACCGACGTATATCATGCTTCGCTGGCAGTGGGCCCCTTTCAACAGACTCCCGGTGGCTACTCTGCTAACATGTGCAAAGCTGACTCAGCTTTACACTGGAAGCGATTCTGGTGGCTGAGCTTGCCACCTGATCGCTTCCACTGGCCAATGACGCGCTAATAACCTATTTGGAGTGGGAAGGTGACAGGTTCTCTTTAAGGTGATTATTAGGGGTCTATCACCACTAGTATGCTATCACACAGGGACCTCGTAAGCCCCCTTTTGTGACAGCAATTAGTTATAGTAAAAAAATAACATAAATGTTAAAAAAAACAAAAATTATTTTTTTTAAAGTCCCCATACGTATTATTGTAAACATGGGTTGGGTGATCCTGCATTAAAAAAAATGACGGACGTGCTAGGTGTTGTGTTGGGTATTACTGCGTGCACCAGAGAGAGAGCAATAACTCTGGGGACAATATTTACAGATATCCCTAAACTGATGACCTGTAGGGACTTTTAAAGCGACACCTATGGGCAATTTAGGGTGCCGTATTTTGTTGTCGTTTCAAGGACGCACGCAATTTAATTTTTTCTTCTATTGTGATTTTGGGCACTAAAATTAACTTAGCATCTTGTACAAAATGTTTGCATTTGATAAAGTGTTGCCCTAATATCGTGAGACATAAAAAATTGCAACTGCCACCATTTTATACTCCAGGGTCTTGGCTTTCTAAAAATGTAAAATCTATAATGTTTGTGGGTTTTAGGTACTTTCCAGGCCTAAAATGTGGGTTACAAGGTGTGCAAGAAGGCCTTGGCAGCAAAAGGGTTAAAGGCGTCTACAGAGTTGCCCATAGCCAATTTTGGGTACTCCCGTTTTTTGACATTTCACAGGCGCACACAGTTTTGAGACTTGACATGTTATCTAATTACTCA